TCGCCGCGCGAGCCCGACGGCGTCGACGGCGCGGTAATCGCCGCCGTACGCCGCGGGAACTCTTTGGAGAGCCCAAAGTCCGTGAGCACGATGTGCCCGTCGCCGCCGATGAGGATGTTCTCCGGCTTGAGGTCGCGGTAGATGACGCCCGCGGCGTGCAGCCCCTCGACGCCCTCGACGATCTCCGCCGCGTAAAAGCGCGCGCGGTCGCGCCCGAGACGCCCCCAGCGCGCGAGCTGCGTCGCGAGGTCGCCGCCGGGGTGAAAGTCCATGACGAGGAAGAGGTTCTCCTTGTCATGGAAGCTCCACCACAGCTTGACGACGAACGGGTCCTTGCTCTCGGCGGCCATGCGCTTGAGCACAGCCTGCTCCGTGAGCGTGTGCTGCAGCTCCTGGTGCGCGAGCACATGCCGCTTCGTGATGGCCTTGAGCGCGTAGAGGTCCGTGGTCGTCTTGTGCTTGACGAGCAGCACCTTGCCCGCGCAGCCCTTGCCCAGCACGCGCATCATCTCAAAGTCATCGATGACGACCTTGCGCGCGCTCTTGCGCGGGCCGACCGAGATGGCGCGCAGCTTCTTCTTGGACGCGCGCTTTTTCGGCGCGGTGCCGTGCCCGGTGGTAGAGAGGGACGAGTCGTCGGTCTCGCCCGCCTGCGACGACGTCTGCTCCTCGGGGTCGGTCTGCTCGTCCTGGTTCGAGAAGGCGAGCGACACCCGCGACGACTTGTCGGGGTCGGCAGACTGCGAGCGCGGTATGCGTGACGCATCGGGGACGGGGAGCGTTGCGGTCGTCGCGGAGGAAGGAGGCGCCTCAGAGACGACCTCAGCCTCCACGGGCGGCGCGGCGGCGACAGGAGTCGGCTCTGCGGGCGGGACGACGTCCTCCGCGATGCCCTTCTCGACGGCGATATTCTCCTTGCCACGCATGCCGCCACCGGTGTGGGACGCGAGATCGCTGCGCACGCGTTTGATCGCGCGCTCGACGCGCACGCTCTCGAGGTCGTCCGTCCGCACGTGCACGAAGCGCTTCCAGACGCGCGCCTGGCGCATGGCGGGGGTGTTGCTGATGGTGGTGAGGTACGCGGCGACGCTGGTGCTCTTCCCGGACGCGGGGGGCGCGGTGATGCTCGCGGGGGCGTCGCTGGGGCCGAACGAGAGGAAGGGGTCGTTGGCCTCGATCTGGGGGGATATGGCCGGCGTCGGGCCGTTGGACGTGGCGCCATTGGGGCGGCGCGCGGCGCGGTTGGCGGTGGGAGACGCGAGGCGCGAGAGGGTGTTGAGAAAGGTGGACTTGCTCTTGCGCTTCGGGGGGGCGGCGGGGTCGATGGGGAGGTCGGGGAGGGCTGCCTGGGGGTACGCCTCACGGATCTTGCGGTCGAGATCGATGAGCTCCATCGCGGTGCGGGTGAGGGTAAGATTGTGGGTCGGAGCTAGCGAAAGTTACGGCGAGTGGCTCGATAGACAGAATCGGACTGACTCTTTATGTAAAGACTATAGGAGCGGGCGTCGTTGGGTGTCTCTGCGACGCTAACACTCCAAGGTCCGTCCTGCGCGTTCATGCGGACCGGGGGACGGCGATTGGTAGTGACCTGGTCCATTGTGTTGGGGTCTGTGGGGATGTTGGCGTCGACAAAGACAAAGTCCTGGACTGGCTGTCTGTGGGTCCTAAGCTTGCGGCGAGGATCCGTCACGGTGCTGAACTTGGTGGGACTAGCTTGCATGCGACAACCGAGTCACAGAGGGCATGCACAACAAAAAGAGTAGAGCCACGAGGTGGTATGCAGTCCCGCTGCCTCGAGGCAGAACCTGAAAACTCACGGGTCCAACGGTGGTGACCCGGGGGACGTCGACGAGTCCTCGGTTGTGTGGAAGGAGCCAAGGGGGCAAAGGGTAATCGTAGAACGTAGAAGGATAGAGCAAGGTGGTAGTAGCAGTCAGTAATTGTTTGGCACGCGAGGGTCCTCGATATTTTCTATTGTATCCTTGACAGGATCCTTCATGTCCGAGTCTCCTAGTACATTGCTCTCCCTCTCCTCCTCCTCGTTGTCATCCTCATCGTTGGCAATACATGTAATTCGAATGTGCAACACATGAAAATTACCGTGACTCCCACAGACCCAGCACTATTTCGGGTCACGGAAAGCTACACCCCAGGCACACCTCGCCACCTCGGATTACGCACGGCCTTCCGAGTCTCGCCCCCATGGCCAATATCCACCTGCACCCCGTGAATTTCCCGCGCATGCCCTCGCCCTACGCCCAATTGCCCCCGCACTGATCCGCGTACGGCAGACGGCAACTCGCTGAATAATGTCTGCAAGGACGGGCGAATACGACTATCCTCAACACGGAGAAATGAAACGCGGATAAGATGAGATGAAAGCCGACGGGAATGAATCGGGATCGGAGCCGGCTGGAATGTAGGACTTTTGGATGAGCGCGCCGATGAGGAGAGCGAGATATTATGTATGCGAGGTCCGAGTCGGGAGTCAAGCGAAGAGCTGTCTCTCCGTCTAGTACCTCAAAGGACATGCAAGCCCGGTTTGTATGCAAGCGCGAAGAACGGCGACTCTCGCAGAGCCAACGCTAAAACCCAACCATACAGGTAAAACCAAGAAGCTTGCAGACCGAACGGCGAAGAAAGAGTCAAGGTCGGAAAGCCGGCAGGTTCCGGCGGCAGAAATCAGAACCACTTGATTCCCAACCTTAGCCACAGGTCGCCGTCTTATATTTATTCCTCATCCGCAATAAATTTATCCACCAACAAATCAAGAAGCCTCGGGCTCGGTCATCGACGGCGCGCATGGAACCCGAGTCCAAGTCCTCTAGAGTCCAAACTTAAGTCTCTTCCTCCGAGTCTTCTCAAGTTCTATTCCAATCCATCCGTCTGCCGTCCTTCGCTCTTCATTTTTGTTATCAAGGTCCGATATCTACCGCCCCCCATTCCATTCCATTCCATTCCGTTGCATTCTGAGCGTCTCCGATTCAGAGTCCTCGATAACGGAGGAACCAGAGTCTAAGCCCCGAATAACCTCGCACGCACTGGCACGGGTGAATCGTCGCTATGTATCCAGGACCGCAGGCGCACGACTGCGGACTAGCTTCCCCCGGACGCCTTCTACACGCGTTCGCCGTCCACTAATATTTGCGTCATCGCAACCAAGCACTCCACCAGTCAGCAGACGATCCTCCCGCTGTATCTCCTTACCGCACTCCGCGCATCCATTGTCAGGGCTCTATGTATCTCCATTTCATTCCATTACGGACGCCAGGCCCAGAGGACAGAGCATAAACACGGACATCTGCCACTCCATGTGTCGCTCCTCGGAGTCGTTCCATTTCCATTTCATTTGACGTCGAGAACCATACATGGGCGTACGGGAGGGCATCGCCTCGACTTCAAACAGCTGCAAGCTCTACACATACCGCAGTCCTACGTGTAAACCCACTCTGGAAAGGCGGTGAATCTCAACAAATTATCAATGGAAACTGCACTGAAAAAAGATGGTAGATCCAACATTTTGTTGTTACAACCTTTTGGTCTCAAAATGGGATGACTAAATCTTCTAGTAATGCAATGCTACACGCTGATAGGAGATTCCTCCACTCCGCCCTGTTGTGGGAGATTCTTCTATAGGCTGCAATTGCGTCAGAGAAACTTTAATCATCCCCTTTTTTGAAAACAAAGATGTTCTGAGCTATTATGATCTCATGAACTTGTGGAATCAGTGGAGCTGACTTGTCTGTCTCTTGTCTCGTATTTCCCACGTCGTCTCGGCCCCCCCCACAAGGACATTATCTGCGAGGATTCTTTACAGTACTTTGGGGGTTTTATATAACCGCATATATTCGCATGGCCTTCGGGATTTACATCCTACATCCTTAGCATATCAGGAGCTCGCACATGAAATGGCTGAATTTTTGACACTGAATTGAGGCCGTAGCGAAGTTGCCGACAGGACCGGTGATTATGGGTTTGGAGGTCCGATCCCGATTTTGGGTCCTCAAAAAATTTTGTCCGGACTTTGAACCTGTCCGGAGCCTCAAATTTTGTCCGGATTCGGGTCCTCACCTACGTCCAATTTTCTTTTGGTCCGGACTATGGACCAGACCTCAAATCTTTCGCAAAATCACTTATAAATAGCCGAAAAATCTCCCATAAATTCAATCCCCCCACAGTCGTCTTCCGCTACCTCCGTAGAATATTCACCTTTGCCTTTCTCTGTACCGTATTCAGGCTTGAAACTGCCTTTGCAAACACCTCCTTCTCCGACACAAGCTCCTCGAAGATTTTGTGAGCACGGACCCTGATTTCTACGTGATGGTGGAATGTCTTGACGCCATCCAGTCTGTTTTGTAGCACTGGTCCGCGTCATCGTAAATAGTTATCGTGTCCATATGATGTACGGCAGCCAAGATGGATTGAATGAGAGTGAATCGGGAGAAAGAAAATTCTGAGAGGCTCTCGGACACAATTGAATGTATTCAGTAATGTACATGCCACCATAGATATCTACCATTGTCTGTAAAATGAGCTCGAGGGCCACCACAGGCCACCACCGACCAGATTGAGCTTTTACCATCAAATGTCCGGATGGGGGATCAGACCTGGGCACTCTTGGTCTCCATTGTCCGAACTTTGCCTCAGACCTACCCCGCTCAGTAGGCCCATTTGTCCGGACTTTGGCAGTGACATCCAAAGGCAAATTTTCAAAATTTGTCCGGACTCCGGATCGGACCTCCAAACCTATAATCACCGGTCCTTTGCCGACGCGAAAGAAAAGAATCACGTGTGCGATCAATACGACCATGGCGATTCCTCATCGCAATATTCTACAACTCCTCTGCATACACATGTAAAGCCTGAATGCACACCCTTCATTTCAGCGCAATCAAATCACTTGAAATCACTTGAAGTTACTTAAAAAAAAAAAAGCGGGAGTGTGTAAACATAAACTAACCTTCGGCGCAAACGAAGGGTACCCACTACGACAAAAACACTGCTCTCCATGAGGGTCGAACTCATGACCTCCAGATTAAGTAACCGTATGATTACGCACATGACATATGAGACTGGCGCTCTAACCAACTGAGCCAGGAAAGCGTTGCAACAGTTTAGAGTGATAACTATAAGATCTGCCCGTTGAATGAGTATAAGAACTCGTGAATCGGATAACAGGTGACCGAGATACAGCGCAAAACAGTGCTCGGCTCGCGTGAATTGTAGCATGCAGAGATTTCGGGTTGTCTGTATGCCAGGTCCTAGCTACAATCCGTGAGCGTCGAATGAGCATGGGAACACACGAATCGGATAACAGGGGACCGAGAACTGCGACACCCAAGGAAACGGACTATTCACAGATTGAGGAGCTGGATCGGCCCGCGGACCCACAGATGAGATTCGACGGTGAATTTTAACGCTGTGATGAAGGGACATACCTCCACACCAAGTCTGTGCCCGTCGGGCGAACATCCTTGAAACTGGCAGGAATTTCCCAATCGGGATGAGAGCGGTTGTTGTGGATTGATTACGGCTCTTCTGCTTTTCTTCCCTTCTGGTCGGTTTTTCTTTCGCTGCGACTCGCGAGTATGAACACGCATCGAATTGAATTAAATTTCTCGACTATTCTACGCCATCTTGCGCGTAGCGTAGCACTAGAAGCTCCCGAAGCCGATCAAACCAATGCCCTATAGACGACGGATGGCAAGGGACCGTCGCTCTCTTCGTCTCACGCGCTTCAGGCCAACTGTGCGGGAATCTCGACGCCTCCATCGCATTATGCATAATGTAACGGGAGGTCCAGAAAGTGGCGAGACCGATATAACTCGGTCTTCTTGCCCGCCTTGCAGGCCACGCATCGATGGCTATCGATGGTCCCGAAGTTTCAGGCGCCTTTGCCTTCACGTCGGTCGATATGAACACATCATATGGGGGGTCGCAGTCATCATCGGCTCCATTGCAGCTCGCGAGGTATAGGGAGACGTCAGTTAGAGTCGATGTTAACAAGATAGTATTGATAATCAGGGCCCACTGACCGTCGTGGAACCAGCGATCTAATATCCTCGTAGCAACTTGTCATGAAGGCCTTTATTGCACTCACCTACTTGAAACTTCAGCTTCAGCCATACATCGATATCGAGAGTGGTCTCCAACAAAAAATGATAGCGACATAGCATATGTTTACAGGTTAATTACTCTAACAAGAAAGCAGATATTAGATACGGCAGCGTAAGACTAGATCAATTAAGTTTGCAGCCCATCACCCTCACTAAGTGCATAATCAGTGTTCAAAGTATGAGAGATGCAGAGAAGAAACGCACCAGTGCCATCCGGTTCCCCCACTCCATACAACATTTCCATTGGATGGAACACCAAAGAACTCGACCGCGGGATGAAGGGGGACAATAGGGCGCGCGACGGTGGGACGGATAATCCGGTGAACACGCTGAAGCTGGACATCGTCTCATTCTGCCTCAGGGCCTGTACCGTGATACGCTGGGACTTCCAGCTCTTTTGAGAAATGGCGGAAGTTCTGTCCAGGTCGAGAATCAGAGAAATGGTGTCGCCCGTACGACAAGATCACATACGTTGCATATACACCCGCCGCGGGATGACAGTCAAAGGCAGAAAGGCCGTTGGGCTGCGCGTCCCAGGTCATGGCAGCAACGTCAGTGTGACTTCGGAGATCCCATAGCTTGACCTTGCCATCCAGGCTGTGCAAGCATTAGATTGAGTTCAACAAGTTGGAGTCTAGCCTACCTCGCCGAGAGGAACTGCGAGCTTATCGTGGGATGGCATCGAACATTTTGGACCCAAGACTCATGTTCCACGAAGTTTCTGGTGACGGCATCCTCCTCCGGGAGTCGGCGATCAAAGATCTTCACCTCCCCGTTGGCGAAACCAGCAGCGAATACCTGGGACGGCCCAACATCGCAGACGATCGCAGTAACAGGGCTGTCCGAATTGGTGTCCAAGTCCTGGCCCGCCGATGAGGATCAAGCATGTAGTTCAATCTAGACCAAAACTCACCAATGTCGGGGTCTCGGTTTGAGCATCCCAAACTTTGATGATTCGGGAGTCTCCGCCTACGAGAAGGATGCCGGCAGACTGCTTCCAGTCCATCACAACGCCCGCACCCTGCCGGACTGGGACGAGTTCCGAAAGGCCGCGGAACGCGCTGACCATTTGGACAGGTCCTTGGTCTACAGCGGAATCGTAGTTTCGGTATAAACGGAGGACGCCGTCGGCTAATGAAGCATATGAGTTGCACGCGGCTTGCCAATTGCAGAAGGACTTACAAGACGCGGTCAATATTATCCCGCCCACATCTTGGTTGATAACCTGCAGTGACGTCACGCTTGTGCCGGACGGATTGCCGTTGTGGAAGGAACTCAGTCGTCGGCGTTGCGACCAATCCCAAACGCTAGGAAGATGGTGAGAGAAATATTATTCCAACATAAGGGAAGACCAACCTGACTACATCGGATTCATTGGCGATAAACAGGTGTTTATCGTACGAGTGGAATGCCATGGTCAAAGGATGTCCTGGGACTTGCAGCGTTGCAACTGGCCGATCCCAACGTCGAGTGTCTAGTCAAACATCAGCATTACAGATACGTCGACCATCAAGTGCATACCCGCAATCTCAGTATGCCGCTGTGTTTCATCGATAACATTATCGTTCCGCGTCTGCCGCCACACCTGGTAATTGAACTGGATGCTCCCCGGTTCGTCGGCCTCTGCTTGCTAGAAATGCAACTCAGCTATTCGGTCTCAAACGAAAGTGGTCCACATACCCGCATTTGCGGCTCGGTGAAGTACTCGCTGCACCAGTCAAAGAACGTGCTTTTCAGCGGGAGGACATCCGCCATGCCGACGCCCGTTCCCAGACCAAGGATGATGCTGCTGCTGTTCGAGTCCATCGACGAGAGGCTGCTACTCGGGCTCGGCGCCGATCCTCCGTGGTGGTGACCGCGCCGTGCGCCAGAGCGACGGCGCGCCCTCAGCCGCTCCATGTCTTCCTCCACGAGAGCCTCGATGACGTTCCATGCCATAAAGTCTGCCGGCGGCGGATTGGGGGCATCGAAGGAAGGGCGCGGCGACGGCGGTGCACTGCGTGAAGCGTGGTTGTGCCCATTTGCGTCCGAATACGGCGACGCATATTTGGCCAAGTTCAGATTTGGTGATGGGGGGCGGGAGCTCTCGGAGTCCGGCCGCGGTGCGACATCTGTGGGTGGCGGATGCGTGTCCTCCGCAGCTGGGAAGGCGATACCGTTGGCCAGCGACTTGAGAGCGTTCGCAAAGGAAGACGTCCGCCGTAACGTGTTAGTGACGCCGTTGGAAATGGTACTCGTCATAGTATCTGCGCGCGAGATACTTGGCCGGGGGACGGGGGAAGGCGGAGGGGCTGCAAGTGATGGGGCGGCGGACATAGTTGACGCTTGCGACCCGACCCGAGGACGAGATGTCCGTTCCTGCGTGATTGGAGGAACGTGCAAAGATGACGACTCCAACCGTGTAAACGGCGACTCAAGCAGGAGCGCCATGATGTAGTCCACCACTGTTTGCGCGTTGGTGGCGACTTCGTGATACGGATCCACCGAAAGGTCCAAGAGGAAGACGAACATGGTGAAAAATGAAGACAAATAGACACGTTGTTCCGCCTGTTCGTTTTCTTCAAAGCGATCCAGCCAATCTGCGACGGCCTGGACAGTGAGACAACTGCTATCGTCATCGGTCGCATGGTGACTGCCGGGAGTCTTCCACTTGCGGTCTTCTTCCCAATAAAGCCACGCGCAAACGACGAAGAAGCCTCGATACTCCTTTACGAGGGTGCTCAGAACGACAATGATCTCCTTCCGGCACATGGGGCTTGCGTCATCAGTCATAGCGAGGGTTGCGCCAGTAACGACGGCCACCTCCATCTTGAAATGAGTGAGCTTTGACTCAAAGTGCGGCATCGTCCCTGTCCCCCCGCCCCCTCTCTTCTTCGGGTTGGAAGAGCCGCTCGCGCCCATGAAGGTCCCGAGCGCGAACAGCGCTGCACAGCGCACCTCCACCGAATCGTCGGAGAGCAGCTGTATGAGCTTGTCCTGTGTCCCGCGGTCTACTCCATACACCTTGTTCTCGTCATTCCCATCCCAAATCTGCGCGATGCACAACGCGCTCCACTGCCGGAGGAGGAAATCGGGGTCGTCGAGCTTATCGTAGCAGTGGTCGAAGACCCGCGCGTGGAGACACGCATCCTGGCCGGGTGTGTAATCCCGCGACGCGGCCGCAAGGATGAACGAGCACATCGCCTTGTGCTCCGACGAATTGGGGAGCGCCGGCTCATCGCGCGCACCGAGGATCGTCGCAAAATATTTGAAGCCGTTCGTGTTGACCAAATCCACTTGCACCGACGGGTCGACGGCGAGGATCCGCGCCCAGATGAAGATGAGGACCGGGCGGAGGTCGGGGCCCGCAGCTTGGAGGAGCTTACTGATGTACGGGAAGATCCCGATGGTGAGGACGAGATGGACGGCCCACGGACCGAGATCGACGAATTGTGAGAGGAGGATGAGGGCGCGCAGGCGATGGGGTTGGCACAGAAGAACCTGGAGAACAATAGGGAGCTGATCCGGGGGTTTGCGAGGGACGAGATGGGACTCTTTCACGGGCTCCGTTTCTGACATGGCGTTCAGGCTCTCCGCCGAACCGTCGGCATTATACCGCTCCGCCGAGGGAGGCAGGGACATTGGACCCCGCTTTGTCAGCGCAGCACCCCCTCGGGATATCCAAACCTCGAACGCGGTCAACTGGTCGGCGAAGAACCGGCTCGGGATATAGTTGTAGCCCTTGTCTCCGGGGAGTTTGGCAGGCTGATTCTGTCCAATACGTCCCGGGCGCGATGCGAGGATGACGGGAGAGTCGACAACCACCGCGTTGCCGTCAGGGGTCTTGTACAGCAAGTCAGGGAGCTGGCGGAGACAGGCATCGACGGCGAGATCCCACGTTGCCCAGAGCGCGTGGGTGTTAGTCGGGGGCAGCGGGGGAAAGGTGTGTGGTGTGCAGTGGTAGTTCTTCATGATCCGCTCAGCGAGGAGAAAGTTGCGGAAGAGCGA